ATGGAGGAGAAATAGAGAGTAAGAAAAGGGGTGCAGAGGGGAGAAATAGTGTGAGAGAGGTAGGGGGTGAGGAGAGGAAGCAAGGGTGTGATGAATGAGATAACCATCCCGCAAGTTTCTTGCGGGTCTCCACTTGTTTTTACTAAAGCTTATGGCCATAATGTTGTTGTCCCCCGCTGCAAATCTAGGGGAAGGCTCTCTCACTTGGACACTGATGCAGGCTGCAGCTGCCCCCAATCAAATACTCAGTTCATGAAGCAAAATTACAAATATACCTGACCCCAAAGTGTTATTTCAGTAAAATAAGTTGGGGTTTAATAGAAAACTAATTATTACATAAACTTCATTTCCCCTCATTTCCTAACCCCCAAAAAACCTTCCCACCCTCCATGGCTTCAAAATCTCTGGAAATTTTACATCTCTGCTTGTGACCCAGTTGTAGTTTCGGCCCTCTTCTGAAGTTCAATAGGCAGGAACTGAATTTGGATGTCATTAAAACATGCCTGACCACGGTCAGATCCAACCTCTCCAGAATTGGCTGTGGTTGGCAAATTAGAACCTCAGATGGTCAAAAGGGCTTCCGATTCCTTTAACTGCCTGTCTCTCCAAAGTGACAGCCTGATTAAAGAGTACTCCTGGGCTGTGGACCTGATTCTTCAGGCATGTGAGTGCCACCCCATCTGTAAAAAGGTTGCGTACCACTACTCATGCCAGTGCCGTCTGACCAAAAGGATGCCCGTTTTGTCTGGGTTCCGTATCAGTTTCTTTGCCCACATTGAGCCCTGCGTGGGCTGAAGATTTTGATTTCTTTCTCTGGGAATGGAGGGGAAAAGAAACTGAGCTGAATTGAGCTGAGTTATGCAATGTGGGAAGAAGGTTTTCAGTTTATCTGTCCAAATCCTGAATCTACTACAACTCGGTTTCACTGGATGAGCTCATTCTAGCCCTGTGAGAGAGAGCAGCAGATTTCTTTCTGATCCTTTTTTAAAAAAAAACCCTTGTATAATTTTATGAACAAGAAATGTTCTTTTTGGTGCTTTTCTGGGAACTGCAAAATGGAACGCTGAATGCTACTTCTGTGCTGGATTCATAAGGCACAACGGTATAAACATTTCATACTTCTCTACTGTAAACTTTTAAAGGATAAATTTATAATTATCTTTCACCCAAATTGAATGCAAAAACCTTTTAACTGGCATATTTTGTAAAGGTGGACTTCTGGTTAAACCTAATGTTTTTTGTTTGTTTTTTTGTTAAAGTATGTGGAAGGGTCCTTTGAAAAATACCTGGAACGGCTTGGAGACCCCAAGGTAAGTCTAAAATATTTTGTCTCCTTTGGAGTTGTCCTGAAGTGTTACAGCTGTAGAGAAATTTGAACGTGTCATATTATTTGCTAAATTTAACCAAAGGCCCAGCTAGTCCAGTGCTCCGTCTCCATTAGAGGTTAGTTAGATGTCCTTAAGAAACCAAAGTGAGGGAATGGCTTGTCCTCTGCAGTTGAAAATTTATGTTGTAGTTGGCTGCTCTTGCTACTGTAGTGATATTTCGGGGTCTGTTCAAGCCAGTGTATTGGAGGGGGTACCATATCATGGATCCTGACATCCTTATAGCCCTCTTGAAATAATATTGAAAGTTCCGTCACTTGAGGTGAGGTTCAAGGGTTGGTGTGGTGGGACACCTGTGAAGGCTCTTAGCCTGCCCTTGATCATAACCCATGTTCTGGGGTTCCAACAGGAATGGGAGGTTGACCAAGAGTGGGGATAATCTGTTATTTCATCCAGAAGAGGCACCTTTCTCAGCGGGAGTAGACTGCCATTCCTTTTGTGCTTCTTGTAGTCCTGACTCTATGGATCAGGCTTAAAAGGGTCAAACTGGGCTCCATTGGCCAGGAGGAGGTGTGATGCTTTCATGAAGAGATGACATGCTTAGTATCGGCCCATTAGAAGGCCTCACACCCATAGTCCCCCAGAGCCTGAGGTGGGCCATCGAGTCAAGTTGCTGTTTACAAGGATATTTCATAAAGGGGAAGATTGTAAAGTGACTAAGAACACTGGTGCTTCTAAGGACTACCTGAGAGAACGTTTTGGGTTGCCTTAAATTAGATGAAATTGTCTAACAAGACAGTTTGTTGAATTGACTTAAACTATTGACACATTCTGTTGGGACCTCTATTAAAAGTGCAAGTTAGTGCAGAACTCTGTTAGACTTCTGATTGCAGAGCACTCCATTAACGCCCCTTCTTTACAAACAGGAAAGTGCTGGACTTCTAGAAATCAGAGCCTTCTCGCTGATCTATAAGTAAGTATTCAACTTTCTAATGTCAAGACTTGAGCTGTTTTGATTATTTAGGGGAAACTTCAAGTGATACTCTAAGTAAGCCCAGTCAAAGATTGCCTGTGTTGCAGGCAGAAAGTTCCAGTTCCAGTCCTTGGCCCCTTCAGTTAAAAAAATCCCAGGTATTGGGAAAGAGACCCTTCTCTGCCTGGGGCTGGTCAAGACAGACTGAACTAGATGTATTTATGTACCCAGTGGTCTGGCACACGAGGCAGCTTCATGGCTCTAGACATCTCTCATCCCTTCAGTTGCCCACACACAGTAAAGTCCTCTCTGCTTGCAGTGCTTAATAGGCATAACATTTATCTCAAACTTTAGCTTTAACATGTGAAAATGAAAGATACTGGGAGTTCCAAACAATCGACTTTAATGAGCATGGACCAGAACAGGCTAGCGAGCTGCACAACTTGGGTTGAGTTGGGATTTATTAAGTTAAATCTTTATCTAGGTTCTGTCCGATCTGTTATGAATTTCTTTCTGATTTGTTATGAAACCCCACCTGGGTTATAGAAATGTCTGGATATATTTATTAAACTAAGTTATGTGCCAATTTTTAATAGTAAGGCTCTCAAGGCAGTGGAGAAGCAAACTGCTACATCAAGTTAATACCTCCCATAAAACCAGCTATATTGCATTAAAATAATAACCATCTGCAGTTCATTTGGAATACAACTCAGCAGTAGATAAAAACATCACAATCTACAGCTAAGCACAATAAAATGGGGGGTGTCATTTGTGGTAGAAAAACTCTAATCTGTGGTCCAGTCAGTAATTTGAAAAGTCATTAAAATGAGGAAGAGAGCCAGCTAAGTGTAAAAAACAGAACACTGAAAGCATGGGAGGAAAAAAAAATCGCTTTGTGCAGATTAGTGAAATATTACCATGTGGGTCATTGCTTGGCACATTGTGGCATAATTGCCAGCGCATGTAAACCCTCTAGCCTGCTTGCTCCACACAGTGCACTATGGTGTGTAGTAGGAATGTTTATGACAAACTTTCCAAACTGAAGATATACACACAAATTGCTGCTTCAGGTTATTACAATGCTTTGATTTCCCAGAATGAGATTACAAATCAGGGATTCTTTGGAATTATGAACTTCCCCTTTCCCCAGACAGTCCATCTTTCCCCCTTAGGTTTGGATGCTTATCAGCAGTGCAGCACATGCTCGTGTTTTTCTTTGACTTTACTGATATCCTAGGCAATGGCCTTCCTTCCTTCCAATTGGATTCTTGTAAGCAAGCAGCACAGAATGCTCCTAGCCAAGTACCTCTGGAGACAAGCTGCAGAGAACTTGCTGCTCGCCTTTGCTTTCTCCTTTGTAGGGGCTGAGTCCTCCCCCCCTCCAAGTATGACAAATGGAGTCACCTTGTTCAGGGGTTCATAGAAGTGGACTCTGTGGTCCAATTTGCTTAAAATTTAGGGTTTCTTTGGTGGACAGAGCGCACTAGCTCCCTTGCAAATTTTGGGGTCATTTGGTTGAAAACCAGCCCTTCTAGCCTCCTTCACCCAAAAAGTCACTCATTTCTTAGTTTATGAAAGAAAACAAAGCACAGACCACAAGGAAGGAAGGATGGCAAGAGCAGAGGTTTTGGAGGAAAGGTTAACCCCCCCCCCCCCCCCCCCCGCCCCCCAGTTAGTCACTCTAAGGGTAGGAAAATGAAATAAATGCAGACAGGTGGAGTTTTTTATGCTTTTCCTCTGATAGGAGTCAGTGGAGAGAACTCAACCTGTGCCAAGATACACCTACTTGGGGGGAGGTCTATAAAATGGAACCCCTTTGTGTGATTTGCTTGAAACTTGGGGGGAAATCTTTAAATTAAGAGGGAGGACTATGTTTTGTGCAAATTTGGTGCCATTATCTTTATAAACAGCTGTCCCAGACTCTCAAGTACATTCTCAATTGAAAGTCACAATTCCAAAGAACCATAGCCTGAAAAAGCACATGGATTTGAATCTCAAACAGGTAATTTCCTACATTAACATAAGCAGTCACAGATAACCCTCCCCCAACCCAATATGCAAAGTATAACAATTGTTTTCTTGGTGCACACACCCGTAGTTTGTAGCAGCTCACTGTACTGAAAAGTTTCTTCTGAAAGGTTGGTGTCCACACTGCTTCCAGGAATGATGGGAGAGCTGGTACATATGGGCAGTGTTCCCTCTAAGCTGAGTTAGTGTGAGCTAGCTCACAGTTTTTTAGCCTCCGGCTCACACATTTTTGTCTTAGCTCAGGAAGGAGGGCTCCAGAGCAAACTAATTGATGCAGTAGTCAAATTGCTCGCTCACAACTTAAATGCCAGTAGCTCACAGAGTAGAATTTTTGCTCACACGACTCCACAGCTTAGAGGGAGCATTGCATATGGGGTGATCAAATTCTCCAGTGACGACTCCGTAGCTTCTTTCCAAGCAGTTCTGTCACCAGTCAAAGCACCTCTGTTGTTTATTTCTCTGGACTTTTTGAAGGGCGAGAGTCTCAGTGAAGATAATTTTAGTGCCACCTTTGTATTAGGTCCAATCTAGTTCTCACACTTTCTTGTAACTTTGGGGGGGGGGGATTTTTCAACTTTCCTCTGTAGTCAACCAAGGTTTTGTGTACAACTCTGGGCCATTCTGGTTTGCTGTCAAAGCTGCAGAGAGTGGCATTCTCCCATTTCCCCATGCATTTTTATTTTCTCTGTGGAAGAGGAGAATTCCGTGCTGGCCTGCTGCAGGAACATTCAGGTGCCTTTAGAAGGCTGACACTGCTACCTTATCTTTTACCAATACTTCTAATTATACCCCCACCCCGCTCATGGTTTTCAGACAATTGGCCCTGTTGCCTTCTGGTAGCCTCTGCTTTTTGTTGAAGCCCAAGTATGTCATGTGACTACCTAGACTGCCCAATCATTTGGATTAGTTACCATTATGGTTCTTTTGGTGTAACAAGATATAAAGCATGTCTTTAGCTCCTGCATATGTTAGTGGCCATTGGACGTAAGAGCAGTGTCTTTATGCTTATACCTACAAGGGCTGTTTGAAGTAGTTTTAGCTTTGCTTTAAACTAAGGTAAAGTGTAAATGTGACGTCAAGTTTCATGTGATGCTCACTCTTGGGGGGGGGGGTCTTCTAAACATCATTCCCCTTACCTATAGCTTAGTGGTTCCCAACCTTTTTCAGGTCACCCCCCCTTGATTCCATAAACTCATTCCTAGTGCCCCCTACCCTATAAAATGCGTTATTCAGAATAGTGGTTTGCACAACCCACTGAGAAGAAGAGAAGAGATTGGATTTATACCCCGCCCTTCACTACCCAAAAGTGTCTCAGAGCGGCTTACAAACTCCTTTCCCTTCCCCTCCCCACAACAGACACCCTGTGAGGGAGGTGGGGCTGAGAGAGCTCTGGCAGAAACTGCTCTTTTCCAAGAACAGCTGTGCCAGAGTTATGGCTTGCCCAAGGTCATCCAGCCAGGGGCAAGTGGAGGGGTGGGGAATCAAACCCGTTTCTCCCAGATTAGAGTCCGCGCACTTAACCACTACACCAAACTGAGGAAAATAATACCAATAAAATTCAAAACAGTAACAATTAATTGCACATTTATTCAACATCCAATTAAAGCCTTTTAGTTTAATTTATTCAACAACATTTATGAACTTGATAGCAGCTTTTCAAATAAATAAATATTTATTTATTTAGTTATTTAGCCAGAATCTTAGATGCCACATTTAGTAACTACTTCAATGTTCAGTAAATTCTTTTTTTTTTTTTTTAATTCTCTTTATTAATTTTCAGAAACATATTAGCAATCAAAGAAAAAACCACACACAAAACAAAAACAAAAAACAAAAACATATATACCTGTTGCAACGCTTATATCCGCTTACCCGAAGTGACATCTTACGGTGATATTAATCTAATCTCTTTCATAACATACTTAAACATTCTCTTCCATTTAAACAAACTTTCCCATAGCAACTCAAAATGTTATTTCTCACCTTTGCTTAGGCAACTGGGGCATCAGCCCCGGTATAAGTTTCCTCATACTGGTATATTATTCCAGTCAAGGTATCTACATAAATCCACATAAATTATCCCTTCTTATTACGCAACACAACATATATTTCAAGCACTACATTGCTTAACTGCTGGCAAAACCGTTTAGATAACTTTTACAGAGAATTAAACAACTTTAAGTATACATATTGCCTTAATCCTTTAAAAGAAAAAAAACCTTATTTTTCAAAACAAACTCCATATACCTGGTACTGCAAACATGTCAGCTAGATACAAGTGGTAGTTTCACTCTTATCAGTAATACTATGACATAACTTTCAAACATAAAATTCCTTGCATAGCCTTTTAACCTATTAACATTGTTTTTTGTAAAGAGAAAAAAAAGGTAGGTTTAATTTAATATAATATTATGATTCTAACCTTTGAGAGTTTCCTTCAAAATTCTATTCATTCTACATTACTATTCCTTCTTTGTTATAACATATTTTATCTAATCCTTTTCACTTTTGTATCCTTCCTGAATTTTATCTAAATACCTGTTTACACTCATTGAGCTGTCATGCAAAACTCTTTTATACAGAACTTTTCCAGAAGTTATCTGACCCACACAATATACCTTGTTGATTAATTTCCTGTTGCAACTTCTTTTTAATTGTCAGTCTCAAATGTCTTAAATCTTTGAATTCGTCATATTTAACTTTCAAATTCTGTCCCTCCCAAGTTGCCAAATCTGGCTGCAGTTTTTTAATTTCTCTGTTCTTGTTCCCGAGAGGGCGTCCCCCTCTGCGTTTGACTAATTTCTTCTTTTTCTCTGCCTGTGGTTTTCTTTGGGCATTCTCTTTTGTTCTTTCTGATTTCACTACTTGTTTCTTACTGTCCTGGTTTTGTGTGGGATCATTTCTTTCCCCCCCTTTCGTGTCTTGAACCTCTTTTTCTTGAGTATCATCTTGTCTGCTTTCATAGCTTTCTT